CAGAATTTCTTTTGTGAATCAAACAATAATTTAATAAACTCATCTTCCTCCTTAGATTGTGAAACCACTGAGGGTAGCCATGTTCCATTCAATGTGGTTTCCTTAACCCCTGTTTACCAACAGGTTATCAGTAAATGTGTAGAAGGGAGGAAAGAAGGGTCAATGGATAGATTGATTGGATAGGAGGATGGTTGGTTTTATTCAATTACTGTTTTGTCAATAGAAGGGTATCACTGAGTCAGAAGTTCTGTATTTATTGAAGTATAAACATTTCTCCAGGAAGTCACAGAACTTACTTTGTTACTATTTATTCTTACACCTCTTGACAACAACTTGTTGTATGTCTTTCTATGACAATTAAAAATTTACTTTGTTCAGAGGCCAAATGCATTTGGTATGACTTATTTTTTAACCCCATCCTCCTGACGAAAGAAAACTACATTTGTTCCCATTGCTTAAACCTAAAATGCTATTTTTTTTTGAGACAGAGTCTATGTCACCCCCAGTAGAGTGCTGTGGCATCACTGCTCACAGTAACCTCAAACTCCTGGGCTCAAGCGATTCTCTTGCCTCAGCCTCCCTAGTAGCTGGGACAACAGGTGCCCACCATAACACGTGGCTATTTTTTTTGTTTTAGCAGGCCCGGGCTGGGTTCGGACCTGCTAGCTCTGGTGCATGTGGCTGGCACCCTACACACTGAGCTACAGGTGCCATCCAAAACCTAAAATGCTTTAAGTAGAAGTTTGGTCACTCATACATCCATTCGTCTGTTCATTTATTTATCTATCCATCTATCTATCCATTTCACAAATATTGATTGAGTACCTACTATAGGCATTCTTCTAGGCGCTAGAACATCAGCAAACATCCCTGACTTCATGGTTATTAAGTTTATAATATAGTGAAGGAAGATAGATATGTATCAGGGAATACATATAGGAACGGGCTATATTAGTTTTGGTAGGCTAGCTTCTCTAACAAATTTCAAAGACTTATCATGTTAAAAGTTAACTTCTCCTCAATACAACCCAAAGTTAATCTGACAAGATTTAGGAAGAAAATTTGAGTGAATTAGACCTGCTCTTACCATCGATGCCAACAAACCAATGAGTTTATGGGAAAATGTGTGAATACATAATCTCCTTGAGTTTTATATTAAAAAGTATGCTTCAGTAATTGCAATTGGAATTTAGAAGTTAAAGATACAATTACTATCCCTATACAGAAGCTTGAGGCAACTTAAGACAAATTGACTTTGAGTCACAGTCTGTAGTTACTGTTGTCTGAGTGAATGAGATATAAAGAAGAGGATGAACATAAATGGAAAAAAACTAAGAGTTAAATACTAAGGGTCAAATAAAATGGCAATGCATAAGAATTGGAAAAATAGTTACTGAGAAATTCCCCATCAGTTCTTAGACTCTGCATTTGAAGAATCAGTCATTTGTTAAAATTTCATTTCCTTATTCATTGCCTTGAAATGGAAAACCTCAACTTGGCAGAGTCTGGTGGAAAAACAGCTGGATGCAGAAACACATATAAATAAACAAAACTTTGATATTCATCCCAACTCTACCAACACACATTCTAACTCTTAGTGTTCTCATTTACATGTCTATAAAATATAAAATCAATTGCCTCTCTCACCCAATAGCTATGTTATAAGACCCTAGGAGTAAATGTGATCCAGAAAATAGATCAGGCCTCATAGGCACAGAGGCCCCAGTTTTTAAATTAATTTAATCCCTGACTTGATTAAGGTAATCTTAAATATGCAGTAGCCCTATCCTTGTTTCTTTCCAGAAGAAAATGTATATTCTCAATAGTTTCATATCAGACAAAGTCTGAATAAATTTTACCATTTTCATAAACATTGAACATCAATCAAAACCCATCAAATTTATGATAAGAGAGACATGACCAAAACCAAGAAAAAGAACAAACAATAGAGCAAACAAATAGGCCCATTGGGGACTCAGATAACAGAGCTATAATTTAGACTTTCAAATAACTACAAACAATTATTTCAAGAAATTACAAGGAAACAATGAGAAATTCAGCAGATACTTGGAATACACAGCAGAAGTAAATCTGTCTAACAATGGTACAAGTGAACTTTTCTATAGCTAGAATATAAATGTTCTGACACAATGACTAAGCAAATAACATGAAATTTATGTGAACCAGCTTGATGAAAGTATTTCAAAATGTATATGAAAACACTACACTGTACCCCATGTTTGCATTAATGTATATCGCTATCATTTAATAATAAAAAAGAAAGAAAAAGAAAATTCTAAAAATGAAAAACACAATAACAAAATTTAAAAATTAAATAGATGTGTTTAACAGCAATTCAAATATAGCCAAAGGCTGGATTTGTGTACTAGAAGATAGGTCAGAAAAAAAAGCACAAACTAAATTTAGAGATATAAGAGGATAAGAAATACAGTAAAGAGCATAATAGGTATGAAATATTTTGATTATTATTAAGATACATATTTGGAATACTTGGAGTAGAGAAGAAAATAATGAGGAAAAGTAAATATGTAAAGAACATTTGAGAGATTTTTAAATATGACAAGAGATACTAAGAGAGTAGATTCAAGATGCTCTAGGAACCCCAAGATGAATATGTATAAGGAAATTAGACTTAGCCATATTATAGTAACTTGAAAACACAATAGAAAAGAGAAAAATACTAAATATGGTCAAAGAAAAGTATGATCTTCAAAAGAGCAACAATGTACTAAGAACTAATTTCCTAACAGAAACATTGGAAACCAGAAGCCAATAAAGTATTCAAATCACTAAAAGTTAATAACTCTAACCTAGGATTCAATAACCAGTGAAAACATAATTGAAAATTAAGAGTGAAATAAAGCCAAAACAAAAATTGAGGGTACTCATCACTAGCAGAATTACACTAAAGGAAATACTAAAGGGTACTGTTTAGACAGGGGATTTATTATTCCAAGTGGAAGCATAGAGACATAGCAAAGAATAAAGAACAATGGAAAAGATAACTATGGAGCACATCTAGAAATATAAAGCAGAGATAATTAGAATTAAAAAGATAAATAGAAAATCCATCACCACTATTGTGAGAGTTTAGCATACTTCTCTCAATATGCAGTTTAAAAAGTAGGTAAAGATATGGAAGATTTGGGAAACACAATTAACAAACATTATTTAATAGACATATCTAGGATACTCAAATCAACCACTGCATAATACTCATTTTAAAATATAAAAATCAGTTTTTAACTCACATCATCCACAAAAATCAGTTTCAGGTAGATTGTAAGTCTCAAGGTAAAAGGTAAAACAATTACAAAAGATCACATAAAATATTTTCATGATTTGAGAGTTAGGGATAGTATTCTTTAACAGAATAGAGAAAAAAATCTTGCTAATCATATAGGGAAAAAAATAACTAATGGAACTACTAAAAAGGGGAGGTTTCTGTTCATCAAATGGCACCTTTAGGAGAGTGAAAAGCCAAGTCAGAAGGTAGAAGAGGATGTGTGCAGTACAGGTAATCAATATAACTTGTATACAGAATACATAAAGATCACCATCAAATCAGTAAAAGGCTACACTGAAACCCACACGTCTATTTCATCAGTGTTCATCCTCATAGGTCTGGCAAAGGATGTTTGCTAATGATAGGACGGAAGCATGAAAGATTTTTTTCATGTGGTACAAAATACTGAGGATGGTTGTTTAAGTAAATCAAAGTAATATATCTAAAACTAGTACTGAAGAGCTCTAGTCATGCAATCAGTTAGTGCATGGTACTGATAAAATTAGCAATGAAAGAACTTAAACGGTTCATTTCTTTAAAATGGCATATCTCAATCCAGTGTTTAAACACAGTATGAATTGCTCATTGCTATATTCTGGATTACCTTTTATGCATCAGAAAAATAACATTGCCCAAATGAAGCAATCACTGGATATAAGTGTCTTCGACAGAACAGTAGTTCTCAGAGAAGGCAGAAATGAAAGGTCATTCTTATTGCACACTATTCTCTTTCCATCCCAAGATAGCCTCTTAACTCCTACAACAGGATGAGTTAGAGGAAAAGTCCAACCAAGCCAAACCGATACTGTAGTGATGCATCCCTCACTTCAAGCATAGGCAAGATAGATGTCATTGAGTTGTCTTAAGATGACGTTATAAGACATTTCCCAGAGTAGAGGAGACAATGTGATGTTAGGAGGGAACAATATACCAGATGACTGAGAGGAGACTTCTTGAAAGGATGGGAGTTTGGAAGGTCCCAAGAGAAGCAGAAATTGAATCATGCTTAGATTCTGATTTAATTTCTGAGAAAACTGTGATGCTTGACTTGCTCTCGAGTTGGTAAAATGAAATTCAGGCCCACTACATGCCCTTAGGCTAAACGGAGAGGTCAATGGAAAGGTTTTCTCCCTTTGCCATTTCTCAAGGGGAAGGTAGGTTTGGAGGAAATTCGGGAACTTCTGTAGCTTTCCTCCTCATCTGAGGTACAGAGCAAGCTAGACATTTTATACCCCCTTGCTAGTCACTCTGAGTGTCTAAGAATGTATCAAACAAATTGTGCCTTCTGAGAAGACATGTGGAGGCAAGGGGTCTAGAAGAGAAGAGAGATAACGGGTGGTTTTCAAATACAGAAAGAGACCTGATTCTGTGAGGCTTTTGATTTTACTATGCTTCATGTTTTGTTTTTTTTTTAAAACAACTCTGTTTCTGTATCTGCCTGTCTCGCTCTTGTGTGCATATGCTTCTCTCTCTCTCTATCTCTTCCCCTCTCTCATTCTCTCTCTCTCCCCCACCACATACACACATCCCAGACCATTGCCAGGGAAGATATTGCTGAGCCTGTGGTTGGGCTGTACTTTTAACCCATATGCTCAATCCCTAAATTTAAAATACTCTTTTTCTTTCTTGCATTCCCCACTCCAATCTCTTCAGCCATCAAATCTCCACTTTTTATGAAAAGCAAGAAACTCACGCGACTTTGGTACAGACAGTGCACTTCCAGCTGCCATCAAGGCCTGTGACCCGACACTCACTGCACACCCTTAGTGAGCAGGACTGGCATGGGTCTCCCCGGTCAAAAATTAGGCCCAGGTTTCTCTGACAGTGAACACAGACTCTGCTGGCCTCCTGTTGAGTCTTTCCACTTCTACGTTTTGCTTCTAAGAGTTCATTTTTCAACTTCCTGGAAGGAAAGAAAAAAAAATCACTTAAAAAACAAAACCAGAGGAGCGGCACTGCCTTTAAGAGAAACTTTCATTTAGAAGAATAGCTGAATGAAAGAATCAGAGCTAAAGACTTTCAGGAAATACAATTTCTCCCTCCAGAATTAATAATCCTTTGATATCAGTAGTTGAAAATTAAAACGTTTGTTTTTACCTTTGAATTTTGACATCCTTCACTAGCACTACTATTTCACTATTAATATTCATTCATTCTAACTTCTGCAGATTATCTTTGACGCGATAACACTGAAGCAAGGCCCTACTCTAGTTGTATGCACGATACCATGTTCTTTACCTGCCTAGACATACTGCATGAGGCAAGAGTGTGAAATCAAACTCAGCAACATTGCTAGTTTCCTTAAGTGAGCCCATGAAGATTATGCCTGCAAAGACACTGCCCATGATTTTGGATCTAAATGTTTCTGCTTAGTATTTGAAAATTTCCAATGATCTCCATTAACCTATGGCTATGCCTATCTTTGAATCCAGGTTCCATCATGAATTAACTGTCCAACAATAGGCAATGATATGCCACGATATATCAGTCTCTGCATTTGTAAAATAAGAGTAACAATATTCTCCCACAGCTGTTTTTAAGATTAAATAATGTATGTGAAGTTCTGAACTCGGTGCCTGGCATATAGATAATAGACAATTCTTAGTTCCGTGTTCCTTCTTTTGCTACTTGACATGTAATTTATATATCTAAGCTTTGAAGATTTGCTATTCCAAGCATGGAACTTATGCTAACAGCATAAGCATCACCTGAGAACTTGGTGGGAATGCAGACCCTCGGGTATAACCTCAGACTGCATTTTAACAAAATTTCCAGGTGACTAAAGTTTGAGGAGCTTGGCTTTGGAACATTAGTTCTCAGTTTGGCTATGCATTGGAATCACTTGGAAAGTTTAAAAAATCCTGATTCCCAGGTCTCACTCTCACAGATTCTATTGTAATTAGTTTGGGATGTGGCTTAGGCAATGGTATTTCTTAAAGCTTCCCTATTGATCCTAACGTAGTGTACTGCTGAATTTGGAGAACATAGTTCCAGAAGATAAACTCTTCCCCACTTAAATGCGTCACAGACATGTCATTTCTTTAAGCTATTTATCTTTAATCCCTTCAAAATGAAATTTTTTCCAGAAAAATATTCCAGGTTCATCTTCTATAATCACCTTTTACATGTATAGTACTAAACTTTGTCATACCCATCTAGACTAGCATCTTCCCAAAGGTAGGAATGATTACTTTAGTACCTTGCATATACTGCTCAGAATCCAATCCTATGCAAGATTATAAAGCAGATGAACATGTAAAGCTATTGATTGTTTCTTTTGATTCTTAAAACTAACTTGTGGGGCATAATTAGTTTCATATTAAAGACAATAAGCATATTAAAGATAAGTATAGATGGAGGCAGAAACTGGGTCTTTTAATTTCCAGACCAATGAGAGATTCATAATTGGAGAGTTTTCAAAGTGAAGAGTAAAGTTTCCAAACTCTGTGAATCATTGTTTAATTCATTAATCCAACAAGCATTTCTAAATGCTTGTACTAGGCATTCTGGTATTCAGAGATAAAAATGAATGAAAACAGGATATTTGCTAAGGATTACCCTCATCCTTAATGTTAGTCAAGAAGGAAACAAATGACACACGTGTTGCAAGAGATAGCCCTACAGAGCACTTGTCAGTCCCCACCCTCTTGTCCATCTAAGCACAAATGACAAGAACAAATGGCACATTTTCCTAATTCCTAATGTAGATCTTACAAAATACCCTTATGTTCTCAAAGAGAGTACCTGGCTCGTGAAATTGGGTATAAGAAAAGACTTTCACAATTTATTTTTGAAAACTTATAAAAGCTACAAGCTTTAAAATAACAGAGTTCATTGTGAGTTAAAGACCACACTTGTATTAATTGTAGGATCACAACAGATGTTTGAACACCTCACAGCAAGGAGGAATAACACATTGCCTACTCAAAGTCTACAAAAAATTATGCAACAGTGATAAAAGACACAGTGATTCAGATGAGTAAAACAGAGCCAGCAACCCTAGATAGCAGCCCTATCTGAATAGGTTGGTGTGCCAAAGAGTAATAAGTTAGGAAAATGAGGGGCTTGGGTGATATTTTGGAGGCAAATTCTCTCCCAAAGAGTCCATGGTCAGGTGCCTGAAGTTTAACCACTTAGTAGCTCCTTAAACTACAGTGGCTGAGACCACTTGGAGAAATTATTACTATAAATTAGTCAAACTTTTCTTTTTTTTTTTTTTTTTGCAGTTTTTGGCCAGGGCTGGGTTTGAACTCACCACCTCCAGCATATGGGGATGGCACCCTACTCCTTGAGCCACAAGCACTGCCCAATTAGTCAAACATTTATATCACATCTTGTTTTGGGCTCTACTTGACAGGGCTTTATTTAGCAATCACCTTTCACGCAGTTCACAGTTTCAGAGTCTGAAAGAGCCCAGTATAGATCAGGCCATAGGGAAGCAAGAATTAAGACTCTGGTTCAGCAATTTTTAAGGCAATTGGTGGTAATGGTTCCAAATATTCTGGCAACTATCTCTGAAATATGTGGGGGAAAGCTAAGAAGAATTCCATAGACTGGAACAAAATATTAAACAGCTTACTGATTTTTCAAACCTGTCTGAAAAATTGACCTCATTTAACCACACGTAGGAGATCCCTATTAACTGGACACAGCCATTTTTAGACACTGAAAAGGCAGAGGAAGGGCAATGGGAGGGTAATTGCAGGCAGGAAAAAGAAATGCATGGTTAGAGAAATAGTGTCAAGGGGAAAGAGAAGTACAAGGAACTAAAGGAGAGAAATAGATTGAGAAATGTCTCTGTCCTCAGTATTATCAGCTAGCACTTACAAAGCAGGGTGAGCCAGTTGGTTCCTGCATTGCTGGTCCAGCCTCAGGAAGGTATCTGGGGAAAGTGAGGTTCTAGGCTACAAGCACAGTATCTGCAGATATATCTCATAAACAGGGAAGCCATCACATAACTAGAGTTGCTCCTTGTTTCAAATAACAAGCTTAAAATACATGTTTCTTCCTCCCCACACCTCCTATATCAAGAAATCCAGAGTTAGGCAGTTGCTTGCATTAGTTCTGTTGCAAAATAACATTACTAACAAGTCAGTACCCTTACACCCCCTATGCTCAAGTGTGGTTTATCATATGAAAAAGGCTAGGCAGCTTCAGTATAGCATTCTTATTTAAGGCAGGAAGAAAAGGGAAAGGGGAACAGCTGCATCTGTGTCTTTCCAGAAAAGCAAAAGCTGACCCAGAAGTCCTCCCATCAGACTTCTTCTTAGGTTTCCTCGAGCAGATAGTGTCATATCACACCAGCTGCAAGAGAGGCTGGGAAAGTAACATGTCAACCTCTATAATGGCAGGAGGCATTGACAAATGCAATATCCTTTCTAAGCAAAAATATTTTAATAGATAAAAGAGCCACAAAGAAGATCCTGTTGTATGGGAAGATTTAAATAGTTAAGATGAAATGCACAGTTCACCACATACCCTCTTCTTTTTGCAGAAAATGACAATGTCCCAAACAGTGTCTATTCTACAAGTCTGGCCTTTGGTCTGTGTATGTCATAAAGTAGAGTCCCCAGATATCCTGTTATTGGACATGCAGCGTGAGTGAGAAACCTTCATTGTTTTAAGCCACTAAGAGTTTGAGACCATTACTACTGCATCACTTAGCCTATCCTGGTTGATAAAGGCACAGCCTAACTTTTAATATGGCCAACCGGCACTTACCTATTTTTTTGTTGTTTTTTTTGTTTTTTTGTTTTTTTTTTTTTTTGCTTCTGCTTCCCCAGAAGGGCTTTCTTTGACTACAAAATCTACAGTGGCTTCCCATTTCTTAGTTTTCCTTGTTGCTACACAGGCACATTCATATTAACATATGAATTTTTTACCTATATGTACTTGAAATCTTAAAGACTGAAGAAATGAACTATCTTGTTGGCTATTAAATGATAGGATCTCTTCAGTTCTATATTCTGATGATATGTCGAATTCATTTTTTTTCTGTCCTATCATCAAAAATGCTCAATATATTAAGAAAAAGACCTCTTGCTTTATCATCATCTCAACACTTCTTTTCAAATAAGAAATTGCTTTCATTAAAATTCCTATCACATTTATGTGGCATTATTTTTTTTCTTTTGTTAGTCTGTCTAGACCAAATTGTACTGAAAGCTGTTTTGCAGCAAAAAGGTAGGAATTTTAGAATGGAAGCAATTAGCTGCTTTGAAGAGGAAGCTATGAATAAACAAGTTGTAAAGCTTCCTTGATTCCTTGATGCTTTTAAACAGTCTTAGCTAGCAGATCACATTAAGGCCCAAGGAGATAATGAGCAAGCAAGGATGACATAGTGGCTCAGCGAACAGGGCTCCAAAGTCAGACTTCCTTAGTTCCAGTCCAGGATATGCCACTTATTTCCTCTGAGACATTCAGGCAATTACTTAACTTGTCTATGTCTCAAGACTCAAGAAGACTTAACCTCTCTCTGTATTAAAATACCCCCTCTGTAAAACAACTGCATAGGGTTGTTGTGAACTTGAGTAAGACAATGTTGGTAAGTATTTAGCACAGCTTGACACATTGTAATTATAGGATAGACAATTCTGGTATGTCTCCCAACATCTGTTCCCTTTGTCTAGTTAGTTTTATAGCCACTTGGAATAAACACTAGATTTCTCAGTGCCCCTTGCAGTTAGGTTTTGTCATGAAACTAAATGTTGGCCAAGTGAATGTGATTACAAGCAGTATGTACAACCTCTAAATTGTGCCTTTCATGAGATAGGGACCATCCCTTTCCCTTGATCTCTTCTTCCTTCCCAAAGGGTGGGATATAAACATAGGAATGAGCCATCCTGAAAGACCTAAACCCTCAAGATGGTGGAGCAACAAAAAGCCAATGAGCTCAGAGCCCCC